CAATATCGTTGCGCTCTTTTGTCTCGTAGAATGGTGGGGCGGGCACACACACATATGCTGCATATCACATGGATGTGCGCCCGCTTAAAAATCCTCCCCATTGGCCCACCCTTAATTGCCAATAACTTTTTAGGGGTGAGTCTGATCAAAAAGTGCAAGAGGACTTTTCTGCTCAGAATCACCCCCTGATCCTAGGGTGTTCAGATGTACATGTACTTCTGAAACACCCTGTATACTTTGATTGAGATAGAGGTTATGACGGGTGAGAGTAGAAAACTGATAAACACTTAATTTTGAGAAATATGTTATGCCCCGAAAAGTGGAGCATAATTTCCCCATCAGTCTGAAATATGGGCAAACGCAAGTAACACATATTTCGGAATCAAACCATAGAATTAAGTGATTCATTGAGAATATACGTGCATTCTGAGACACGTATATTCGAAATAAAAAGTAAGCCAGTGGAACATGCATCAGCAATTCCATTGGGCTCATTCGCATGGTGTTATCATAACACCATGCAGATATGAGGCAATGGCCAAGACGTCATGGGCTCTGGATGAAATAAATACTCGAGAGACCATTGTCTCGGGGCCAGTAACTCGACTACGGTTGGTATTACCGTTCACCTGATACCTTCAGAATCAGAGTGAACTCTTTGACCGTAACTTCTCCAAGTTTAGATAAATATAATAAACGAGGCTCATTTAGTATTTGACGCGAGTCCTATCATTCCAAAATACCGAACCCTACCCGCTCGGGACTCAATATTTTGGTGGCAGCGGTGGGATACGAACCTACGCCTCCGAAGAGACTGGTGCCTCAAACCAGACTACAACATTTTGGTGTCAGCGGATTTTATTTGGAAAGAAGATCGATGCCTGATCAATCACTGTCTTATCGCACAGCAGCAAAGAAGAAATAATATTCGACGATCTATCTACCCGAGGGTGGACTGGCCGTTTCAATGCTTTCTTCGAGGAATTTCATCGGGGGAGCAAGAAGAATACCACTATCGGTAAACCATCAAAAGATAAGTCTATTCATTGGTACTTTCGTTGTGCCGTAGGAGATAGCAAGAGTTTTCCATTTTTGGGAACCAGTTTTAGCTAAAACATTGATTGACAGTCGCGATGTTAACTTCAAGGAAAACAGATGGGGGTCAGCAGAAAAATTCCGAATTTAACTCTCATTCTTTATCAGCTCCCGGCGCAAGGAGAGCCTTATTTGCGACCAGGCGAGGCAGGGGTAACATTGATAATGTTAACCTGCATCGTGAATTTGTTCAGTCTGAACATGCTCGCTGAGAATCGTCAGGTCAACGTTGAAGCTAAGGTTTACCGGGGAGATAATTACATGCTACCAGAGGGAATCGCGGAGATTAGACAGGGAACCCACAATGCGCCTGGCCCTGTCAACCCTTCGGTGAGTCAACATCGTCCTGTGCGTATTATTACACAGGAAGGTGTGGATAACATTGAAAATTATCCAGAAAAGGAAACGGAAGACCGTCATGAACAGTATTCTATGCCTTCCAAGGTTTTTACCAATGAGCAAGAGTTCAGGGCTAGTACCACACTTGATGGGGGAAATGTTCCCCAGCAGGCGGATCAATTGAATCCTGTCTATGATCGCCTTTTAGGGAGAGTTCGCACTCTCGTGGAGGCAAGACTCAGGCTCCAGAGGGAAATGGATATCCGGGAGCAATGGGTCGCCGAAGAGAGACAACGCCGACTAGAAGCCGAAAAACAGACGAACGAGTACAGGGTACTCTTGGAGGATGCTTTTGAGAAGCAAATGAATCAGCGAAACAGGAGCTTGCATTCTGATATTTTAGATTTGAAGGGCGCACTCTATTTAGTGAAGATCTTCCCCGGGGATGTTCCGGCTAAATTAGATTGTTTCCTAGACTCCATCGCCAGCGCTAGGAGATTAATTCGTCCAGGTTTGGAGAATCAACTTTTGGATGGAATTTTGGGAAGTAAATTAGAAGGTGCCGCGCATAAACAATTGAAACATCGCACGGTGAAAACATTCGAGCAGCTAACAAGTGAGTTGGAATCACTTTTTAAGAAGACACGGAATGTCATCAGTCTGCAAGGTGAGTTCAGCAAGTTGCAACAGCGTGAAAATGAGGACGTTGGAAAATTTGTTCAACGCACAGAGGAGATTACAATGGATTATCTAAATGGTCTATTGGGTCTCAACCCAGAGCTGTCACAGGGAGAGAAGGAGGCAGCTACAAAGGTCCTAGAGACTATGAAAAAATTGGTATTCGAACAAGGATTACAGGGTCAACTGCAAATTCTGGTGAGAGCAAATCATTTTAAAAGACTCCATGATTCTTGCTCGGGGGCTGTGGATCTTGAGAAAATGATTTCTGGCAATACCAAGGGCAAGACTGGGGGAAATTTTGGACAGAATCGGAATTCCACTGGAGGCGGCAATAATTCCACGGGGCGTCATTCCACTGGAGGCTATTTTTCTTGCGGTCAAATGGGTCATCTTGCGAAAAATTGTGGAAATTCACAAGTAGGGCACCGAAAATCACTACCAGTGGCAACGAAGCGTCGGAGTATTAACGCATTCGGCTCTGTTTGCCAATACTGCAAATATGCGGGACATGATTTTGCTGACTGTCACAAACTGAAAAGGAAACTGCGACTACCGGAGGCGTCGAAAGTGTGTTTCGCGGCAATCAAACAATTTAATTCGAGCCCCAATAAATCTATGACTGGAGGGAAACAACATATGTCGAGCAGTAATGGAGCTAAGGATAGGAATAATGCGGAAGGGGGAAATAAAATTGTTCCTTTGCCGGTCGGCGCTTATCAAGTTATGATGGTGCATACCACTAAGGTAACCGGAGAATGTGTCACCGATAAACGGCGAATGATCGCTCCAGTGCGGCTTTCAGAAATACAGACGCAAATTCTACTGTCTGCAGATGAATTAGAACAGCTGACGTTGCTTCTAACTGATTCAGGGGCAAATGCGTCTTTAATTAAAGTCAATAAATTGGGGAGGAAAGCACGAATGCCACCAGGGCAACGGCTTTTGAGGGGAATTTCCAATCATGGCGCTGCGACACTGGGAGAAGTAATTCTTTATCTGCGAGTAGGTAAAGAAATTTTGGCACATAAATTCCAAGTTGTTCCAGGGAATTTTCCATGTTTTGGGGAAATTCTGGGAGAAGATTTCCTATCGGCTCCAAGTTTAAAAGTGGAGAAAATTAATGGGAAATCATTAAAAATAAATGATCATCGTTTTGATTTGTTCGAGGACACGGAGCCTACGAGGTTGACGGGTAGAGCGGAGACCCTAGTTCGGGTGCCATCTTACAGCAAAGGGCAGAGATTGTCTCTAAGATGCAGCTGAGATGCATCTTAGGGGATTGTCTTTAAGATGCAGCTGGACAGCAGCTTACGATGGTTTCATAAACGTATGTATAAACAACATGAACGAAGCGGATAAGTTCATTGACTTGCCAGTAGTTGAATTGCAGGAATTAGCCACTGAAACCGAAATTATGACGCTAACAAATTCACAGAAGCGCGAAGTTAAAGATCGCATAAAATTGTTGCACGAAAATCTACGGATTGGGCATCTGAATCAGGAAGAACGGGATAGTTTGGTAGAAATTTTGGAGAAATTTAATGCTATTGTACAGTTACCGGGGGATGCTCCAGGAGTGACTGACTATATAGAACATGAGATTCCATTGAAACCGGGGACCGTTCCAGTCAACGTTCAACCTCATCGATTACCTCAGTCGCAAGAGGAGGAGGTCAATCGGTAAATCAAAGAAATGCTGCGGAACGGAGTGGTCTGACCAAGCAAGAGTCAATGGAATGCATCTTTATTGGTCGTTCCAAAGAAAATAGATGCCTCAGGGAAAATCAAGTTTCGAGTTGTTGTTAATTTTAGACGACTCAATGACGTCACTATTGGTGATTCATTCCCATTGCCCAATATTTCTGATATTTTGGATAGATTGGGCAATGCAAAATATTTTTCAACATTGGACTTGGCATCAGGGCTTCACCAAATACCTATGAAGGAGGAGGATAAACGGAAGATTGTATTTTCTACACCATATGGGCATTCCGAATTCAATCGTCTGCCTTTTGGGGTGAAAGGAGGCCCAGCGACATTCCATCGATTGATGAATTCCGTACTGGCTGGAATTCAGGGAATACGATGTTTTGTTTATCTGGAAAGAAGTTTATTATTAGATGATGGATCACGGGAATTTGGAGCATAATTAAATCAACGCTGGTCGAATTGTCATTTACGCGACGTTTCACTGATATATTTCAGCTTCTTCAGGCTCTGGAAAACATTAAATGCATAAAAATAAAACACACCTACTAAATAAAACATACTCATAACCTCAAACACATGATAAATGAACCGACTACTATGTCTATATTGCACAACTGACATGTAAAAATACTTTTGTTTCGAAACGTCAACTAATAAATATACCTTGACATGACTAGCGTGTAGTCGACTTATTAAATACAGGTCTCATACGGGAATTACAACCTCGCATTATAGCAGATAAACACAACGAAATCAACAGCAATTTGCACTGACTTCTCGTGACATCATACGACAAGCAGTCGACCGCTGACACCTCACGCTTCAATCACTCGCCACTCATCTCACCGTCACCAGTCAGCGGGGTCACGTTCCGGATGATCCAGCGGCGAAAGTCGATAACCCAGGCCCCTACTTTCTCCTGGTCTTGTATCTCCTGATAAGACTGTTTTACATTCCGCTCAGATGCTGCGTATCTTCACGTTTATTCACTGTCTTGTTCAAGCTAATGTGAACCATCTCACTAATGTTCCGTTTCCTCCAATTCGGTGCCACATCCAGGATTGATGTTTCCTCGAATTTGAAGCATTGCTCAGTAGTGAAATGGTGAAATGCCAACACGTTCTTCTCCTCCTTGTTAAATTTCCTAGGTTCGCAGTCCCTTCGGTGCTGCGAAACCCTCTCCCTCAGCAGTTGTTTAGTCTGACCCAGGTAACATTTCTCACACTCGCATGGGATCTTATAAACCACACCAAACCTATCGAAGATTGGTGTCTCATCCTTCAGTCTCGAGTATAAATCTCCGACCTTCCTCAGGTTGTACATCACGAACCGTGAGTCCGTGTGTCTCATACCCCGATTCAATCGCTGCGATAGTCCGGTGATCAGTGGTAGGCGGAAAACGCGCCTATGCTCCCTTACAGCTCCAGCTGTCTGGAGATCTCTACGCTCACGGAAATTCCTCACACACTTGGAGATGAATTTCGCCGGATAGTTGTTGTTCACCAGCACTCTCCTCACTCGACTCACATTCTCCTCATGGAAGCTCCCGTGGCTCAAACCAATCGCCCGATGAAGTAATCCGAAGACAACTCCAATCTTCTGAGATGTTGGATGGTTAGATCTGTAATTCACGACTCTACCGGCACTAGTTGGCTTCTGGTACCAATTCGTTCTCAGTAGGCCATTCTCCTCCCGAATAACCTTCACATCAAGGAAACAAATTGCGCCTTCCGTCTCTCTTTCGACTGTAAATTGAATACGAGGATGGATGGAATTGAATGCCTCCCTGATCGCCTCCACTGCCTCCGTAGGTACCGCAAGGAGTGTATCGTCAACATACAACTTGACCCAAGATATCCGAACCGGTATTTTCTCCAGCACCTTCGATAGCACATGATCCATCACCAGACTGGCTAAAATCGGGCTGGCAGGATTCCCCATGATGCTGCCATCAATTTGATTGTGAATTTCTGAATCAAACACGAAATAACTCACCTCAAAACAGAACTGAACCAACTGAACGACAACATCCTTTGGGGCAGGGATCAACGATGACCAAATCTCCCAATTCTTCTCGATGATAGTGAGCACCAGCTCTTTTGGGATGTTCGTAAACAGAGAAACGACATCCAACGATACCAATTCATAACCCTCAAGAAGCCTATTCCCCTCCACAAAATCCACAAATTCTTTCGAGTTCTTTATACTGAACTGCGACTTCTCTTGCACCTTGGATAGCAGTCGGTGCAAGTACTTTGCGATCTTATAACGGGGGGGCCCTCTGCAGCTCACCACTGGTCTCAGCTTGCAGCCCTCCTTGTGAACCTTACGAAGTCCATACATTTTCGGAATTACCGACGTATAAGTTGTTTATCTGGGGCATATCATTACTTCGGATGGTATTAAGGCTGACCCTATCAAAATAGAGGCAGTTTCAGGCTTCCCAGAGCCGCAGAACGAAAAGGAAGTGATGTCCTTCCTTGGTTTAGCCGGGTATTATCGAAAATTCATAAAAGATTTTTCAAAAATTACTAAAGCCCTCACTGAACTGCTAAAAAAAAGACGTTCCTTGGATATGGGGGAAGAGAGAGAAGTCTGAAGTTAAAGGCCTGAAAGAGGCCCTGACTACAGCGCCGATCCTGCAGTATCCAGATTTTGGAAAAACTTTCCTCTTGACGACGGATGCTTCAAACAAAGCGATAGGGGCTATACTATCGCAAGGAGAGATAGGTAAAGATTTGCCTATTGCTTACGCCAGTTGAACCTTGAATAAGGCTGAGCAGAACTATAGCACAATAGAAAAACAATTATTGGCTGTGGTTTGGGGTGTGAAACATTTCCGCCCTTACCTTTACGGGAGAAAATTCATCGTCGTAACGGAACACAGGCCTTTGAAGTGGATATTTAACGTCAAGAATCCAGGGTCACGACTCATTCATTGGCGTATATTCCTGGAGGAGTATGATTACGAGTTCGTTCATAAGGCCGGGAAGTTAAATACCAACGCCGATGCGCTCAGTCGTATCAACGTGGTAACCCGAGCTCAGGCGAAACCAGAGTTGACTGGCACAGTGGGGCACTCGGTCAACAACGAAGTTATCACACCAGCTGATAATGAAAGAATGGATATTCTGCAAGAATACCATGACACACCGATTGCGGGACATCCCGGGGCAAAATGGATGTACGCAAAGTTTCGGGAAAAATATCAATGGAAAGGGATGAAAGGAGATGTCGAAAAATTCGTGGCGATCTGTGAGGAATGCCAGCTAAATAAACTAGGAAAAGCAACGAAGGTGCCAATGGTCATCGGGGAGAGTGGGGAAGAGGCGTTCGAGCAGTGTGCTATGGACATTATTGATCCATTACCGATCACGGATGTGGGGAATAAATATATTCTTACGTTCCAGGACACCCTGACTAAATTCAGCAGAGCAATTCCAATTCCCGACCAAGAAGCCAATACGATTGGTCGCGCGTTCGCTGAAAAATCGTGTGCGAATATGGAATGCCATGAAAATTACTTACGGATCAGGGGCCAAATTTTGTTTGAGAAATTTTTAAGAATGTCTGTGAATTATTAAAAATAAAAAAAATACAGATCACGGCGTATCATCCACAGACAAACGGAATTGTTGAGAGATCTCATCGCACTCTCGCTGAGTACCTGAGGGGCTTCATCGTAGGGGATCAGACAGATTGAAGTACATGGCTGCCGTATGCAATGATTGCATACAATATGACTCCTCATTCGGCGACTAAAATGACGCCATTTGAGCTGATGTTTAGTAGACGTGCTGAATTACCGACAGTCGTCAAACAGCCCCCATGTCTGACATATTGCTATTATGATTTTGCGCAAGAACTTCGAGAGAGATTGCGAGTGGCACATCAAGAGGCAAAGGAGAAACTTGACGCAGGACAAGAAAAGTTAAAAATCCAATATGACAAAAATTCTGAGGAGATATAATTCAATGTTGGCGACAAAGTGCTGCTGAAAAATGAAGTTTTGCGACGAGCACGATCGAAGAAATTATCATAACCCTGAATTGACACTGAATTGATTGTACGAGATAATCGAAAGGAATTCTGATGTAAATGATACGATCAGATATGGCAACAAAAAAAGAACTCAGAGGGTCCATGTCAATAGACTGCGTCCATTTATAATCGCATGACTCTATGGACCCAAGCCTCGGACACAGAAACAAATTTCTTACGGAAATTGGAACATATTTATTTGGGGGGAAAATCAAAACTTACATTTGGTTTATAAATTTATAATGAACTTATTGTTTGAATTCTTCGGCCAGAGGGTGTTCATGTGTGAGGTCGGGGTAACGAAGGAGCCAATCCCAGCCAAGATAGGAATGTGTTGGATTCGAGAACACATAGTCTTTGCACTGGGGACAGACAGTCTCGGAACGTTGCAGCCACTGTGGTACGTGATAGGGCTGTGGGACGGGAGTCTCACCGAAAAAAAGACGAAGGTTGAAAATGTCCTCAACGTCGTCTCCAAGTACTGGCAGGTCCCACGGGGCGTTTCTGTCCACTCGACCACGGGCCCTCATTCGAGCAACAAAGTTTCGGTATCCATGATGAACGTATTCGTGATGATACGCGAAAGAGGAAACCTGCAACAGACAGGGGTAAAACTATTAGACACTGGGAGACAGGAAAATCTGGAGAGGAAAGGGGAAGAATTAAATTACTCACCATGAATTCAAACATGAACGCGTCGACGGCGTTGCGCCGGTATGGGTGTCTATCAGATCTCACAGCTCTGGCACGTCGAGCTCTGACAAGTCGAGCACTGAGGCGACGAGAATTGTTTCGGCCTCTCCAAGTCCAAGTCCGGGGGTTAGATTGGTCTCTTCGAGGCGATATTGCAGCGCTGGACGTCGAGGCACCAGCAGCACTAGCACAGGCACCACGAGGACGATCACAAGAGAAATGTCCTCCGTTGGCACCACAATGGAGACAAGCTGATGGGCAGTTGCGGGCAAGATGTACCAACTTGTTGCACTTGGAGCACCTTCTTAAATCCATGTTTGCAGTTTTCTTGTTGACTTGTTCGAATGAAGTCGCGGAGGGAACTGTGAAAACTTTGGGGCGCACCACGTTTTTGTATTCGAGGGTTCAGCGTCAACAAAGATGGCCACCAACGAGCCAACAACGAAGTCCACGTCGCCTAGTGTCGACGTGTTCACCAAGTTCAAGAGCCTTCGATTTCTCAAAACTCTTGAAATCAGCATTTTTGTTTTCTACGTTGCTCATGCTAGGAGGCATGATGGCTCAAGTGCGGGGGGACGAGGTGCATGCAATCGAAAGATTCGTTCACATGCCTGGAATTTATTTTGAGCCAATTGGGAAAATGTATCTCAGTACCCAGGTTTGGTCCATAGCTGCCAGTACAGATGTCTCACCGTGGCTAGCGAGAGCTGACCAACTTCAAGAACATCTGATTCACACTATAACGAACATGTGGGGATGTCCGCTAGGAACACCACCGAGACCTGAACACAACTACCCTACGACAGAAAAAGTCTATCCGTGATCAATTAATTAGGGTGAGAGAGAGAGAGATTTTTGTTTCCCACTCCGGTGGAGTTTTTGAGCGTCAATTTCCCATTCCGATGAAGGATTTTTAAGTTTAGTTTTCCCATCCCGATGGAGAATTCTGGAGTTTAGTTTTCCCATTGCGATAGAGAATTTTTGAGTTTAGTTTTCCCATTCCGACGGAGACGTTTTGAGTTTCGTTTTCCCAATCTGATGGAAAATTTTCGGCTTATTATTTTCCCACTCCGGTGTGGTAATTGTTGATTAGTTCATGATCGATAAATACTTTTTGAGGGCCCGTATATTTAGAGTCATCCGGTCTTTTTGTGGGAATAACCCTTTTATAACTCTCGCGGAAATCATATAGGATTAATTGAAATATTAGCGCTCCAGAATTTTAGTGGGGTATTACGGGGTAAAATGGGTCTTTTTCTGAGTTTTGTTGGAAGGTCACTTAAGGTAAACCCAACCCTTAATCTCAGTGAATTGCCAGGTTGCCTTAGAGTTTCGGGGGGAACGTTTATTCTATTTTTTTTTGTGTAAAATAATTATTAGTAATTCATTATTAATTTTGCCTCGTAAATCCCGGAGATTTGATCCGTGAGATGCATCTTAAATTTTTAGAATCGATAGAGCCTCCATCCGCTCTAAAAATAATTGTTAGGAATTAATTGGATTTTATTTTTTTTATTTGAATTTACGCATTCGAATATCCCCGAATTCATTCGGTGGCTCCCTCAGAGGTTACGACTTTGAGGAGACACTATCTCCACCAATGAGCGCTCAGCGTGGTTGGTCGGAAGTCCCGAGGGTCCGGTGTGCCGCAGCACTGACCTTCGAAATCAGTTCCGCGTTGACCGTCCTCAATAAGTAGTCGCGTGTGAACTTCTGTGTACCTACACAACTCAACTGCGCAATCTGGATTATTGTGAAGCTGCAAGGATCCAGGATGGTCCGAAAAGGGAAAAGGACCGTTAAACATAAAAAAACAGTGAGTTTTGTGGTATTTTCCCCCTAATTTCGAGCCATTTTCGAATGGCGTCGTTTCCCCTTCATGGCGGTATCCCTCGCGTGGCCCTCAGCCACGTGCAGGGGTTGATCACCCTTTAGTCATATTTGTTGGTTCGAATTTGGCAATTTTTTGGGCATTATCCCTTATCCCGGATATTTATCCGCGGGTCCTTCCGATTTTTGGAACGGATATTCCACCCAAATCGGGTCGGTACCGAGTTCTCACCCCTTCCGGTTTATCCCAATCATCTTTTGAGATGATTTTCGGGTTCAGCGAGTGTGTCTGTTCGGTAGTGGAATTCCTGCGTCTTTTCCCAGTCGAAATCGGATGATTTTCGACGTGAGCTATTTCCTTCTTCCTCGCTCCTATGGCGAGGAGTATCTCTGTTTCCCCTACGTATAAATTGCGTAGAGTTTTTCCTCTCGCGGTTCCCCCGTTTAAATTTCCCTCCGGATATAACTAATCCGGAGTGGCTCCCAATGATCCCAAAATTATAATTTTGGTTTCATGGACTTCGCTAGACTTTCCCGAGCAAGTTGGCTATGGGTTTTTGAAAATTTACTCTACCGATTGTCCGCTACGGCGAGTTTAGTTTTAGCTAGTTTTTATTTCCTTCCGCCGTACACTATGCGTGCACTGGTGAGTTCATTTTCTCGCTCTCTCACTCTCACGCGGATTCGCATACCTTTCCCTCCATTTCTCGACATTCTCGAGTATTTCGGGATTAATCGATAATTTTTCTTATATATTATGGTATGAGAGATTTGATGAC